GTGCACTTCATGCTTCCTTCTGCTGACAAGCTTTATGGAGATGCTGATTTAATTTTCCAGCAGGACTTGGCATCTGCCCACACTGCCAAAAGCACCAAGAGCTGGTTCAATGACCATGGTGTTACTGTGCTTGATTGGCCTGCAAACTCGCCTGACCTGAACCCCATAGAGAATCTTTGGGGTATTGTCAAGAGGAAGATGAGAGACACCAGACCCAACAATGCAGATGACCTGAAGGCCGCTATCAAAGCAACCTGGGCTTCCATACCACCTCAGCAGTGCCACAGGCTGATTGTCTCCATGCCACGCCGCACTGATGCAGTAATTCATGCAAAAGGAGCCCCTACCAAGTATTGAGTACATGTACAGTAAATGAACATACTTTCCAGAAGGCCAACAATTCACTAAAAATGTTTTTTTATTGGTCTTATGAAGTATTCTAATTTGTTGAGATAGTGAATTGGTGGGTTTTTGTGAAATGTGAGCCAAAATCATCACAATTAAAAGAACCAAAGACTTAAACTACTTCAGTCTGTGTGCATAGAATTTATTTAATACATGAGTTTCACAATTTGAGTTGAATTACTGAAATAAATGAACTTTTCCACGGCATTCTAATTTATTGAGATGCACCTTTATTTAAAGGTCAATACCTCTTTGATAATCTGATATTTTATTAAGACAAGATTGCATTAGTTTGTAATGATGTTTATCTATAAATAATTCAGGATATTTGGGGGGGAAAAAAAAGTACATTTTACATTGAAAAATATATTTTAAAAAACTTAATGAAAAAAGACTGATTATCAATATTTTACAAGCTTGATAAAAGTTTTATATTCATGTTTGAAACCAACATGAATAAAAGAGTACTGTTCTAAGAACTTGGCACATGCATTTTTAACTAGATTTTTAAAAAAGATTTTTCCTTTATCATGGTCACTCATAACCATTAACCCTTTAAATAGACCTTTTTCTGTGTGTTTATTTTTTATTTTTTATGTTTATTAATCCATAGTAAGTGACTTTGGGTTTTGTCTCCATAAGCTTATCCAAAAAGGGATAAAGGCAGTGAAGTGTTCACTTTTGACACCGTGTGTTAGTGACAGTGTGTGTAGACATCCTCAAAGTCACATGACCAGCGCGCTCTATCTCACACTGTAACACTGTCAGTTTCTCCATTGTGTGCAATTGAGCAATTTTGTACCTCGGGCAATGTCAGCGCCTCAGAACATTACTCATTTCCTTTCAGTTGCCATGGCGACTGTGTATTTGGCAGCAGATGATGGACAGATTTTGTGAGAGATTGGTCAGCACATTCAAACGCAGGCTGAAACCTTGTAATTTACAGATTGGTGAAATGTTTCATCAATAATTGGCGCATCCACTGTATATTTGCATGATGGGAGCTTACTTGTAACGGTCGCCTTTGTAAATTAATTTCCTTATATCTGTGTTAGCACATGATTTCACATCAGCCTCACTTCTGAGTGACAACATATGCATCGAGACGGAACAAATGTATAGGAAAAATCAAATAATGTTTCGTTAAATTAGAGTATAGTACATTGTGTTTTATTTAAAGCCATTGGTGTCCAATAGTGTCCAAAACATTAATTTACTTATACGCACATATGTACCCATAGAAAAGAAAACTAAAAAAAATAACTGTTACAGTCATATTTCCTGTGTTTTAGTAATCAACTATTCCATAAATAATAATAGAAAAAAAAAAAAAAAGTGAATTTACTTTTCAAGTAAAAGCAATAAATATATATATATATATATATATATATAAATATACACAGTATATATATATATATATATATATATATATATATATATATATATATATATATACACACACATACGCCATTACTCCAG